ATCGCGCGAGTGAAGACGATAAGGGTGCGTCCGTCCAGTTCGTTTTCCTAATTGCCGCGGACTCGGAAAATTATTCTACATGTACTTAATGAGGGAGAATTTATGTTCCTTAGTGGCGAGACTAATGACTCCTACGTGTAAGATTACCCCGGGAAGCAAATATCACGTCACGGTAGCCTAGGGCACAGTTTCTTGCGAGATACCTCCTGTTGAGAAACGAAGCGCACATAGAGCGCACATGCGAGTATTCGGGCAAATTAAAGCAAAATTTTGAGTCAGAAATTACAATTGACAATTGATTACAATTAACAATTGAATCTTACGAGAATCTACAGTCTAATGCTTGATACGTGCAAAATTATTTCCGAAATAAATAAGAGAAGCTCCGAGTCTCTCTCAATGCGGATATGTTTACAATAAACGAATAAAGGAATTACAATGGCGTTATATCCCATTATGCAACAATTCCAAAATCGTTCCCTCAAGTGATGTATACTTACAATAAAACGGTATATCTCAATATTGTAATATTGAGATTTACATTTTCTCAAGGCAAGGATTCTGGATATTTTAAATGTTAAATTTAAAAATGTATATCTCGCTCGCAATCAACTTTCTCGATTTTTCAGAATTCCGCGTCGTCGGTTTTTGAAAGTCGCTTTACGTTCTCTACAGGTCGCTTCTTTAATGCGCCGTGAAATGAGGTAAGAAACGAGTGGATAATCCGTAATTGGAGATGTCCAGACGTCACTGTTATTATCGTCGTATATCGTCACCTACGACTCGAGAGAATCCTTCCCTATCATTCGTTTTTATCGAATGCGAAATCTGTCGCTCGCGATCGCTCGCACAAGCAAGCGGCTGGAATTACCGAATAGAAGTTCTTACGCCTACTGTCGTATACGACGAAGAAGAATCGCCTCTGTAGGTGCAAATATCGTTCCATCTACGAGCGAACCGAAGACAACTTTCGCCCTCCAAGGCTGAGAAGATTCCTCGCGGCGTAGAGCTCATCGCGGCGCGCGTAATAGAAACGGACGGACGGACGGACGGACAATCGTTGAAAAATATAATGCCCGATTCGTTAATTACCCCATTACGAGGCACGTACGATGTCGAAACGAGCCTTTAATGACTAATGGCTATCACGCAAATCGACGAGAAATGGAATTAAACGATCTCTGCGGGATTCTTGTTTACAAAACGTTCCAACAAACTTGTTCTTGACGCTTCTTTTAGCGTCTGAATAAACTTTATTGCCAAGAAATGTGAAATTAAATTTGAAGTTAAACACTTATATTGTTGGAAATTAACATTTATCATTATTTATCATTATTTTATGATAATTATTTAATGATAAAATAAATTTAAATTGAGAATGATTATAAATATTTATTTTTACAGTTGAAAATAAATGTTTATTATCATTTATCATTATTTTATATATTTATTAAATATATAAATATCGAGATAAATTTCAGCAATTAAAAAGAAAATTGAAGTACGTTTACGCAAATTTATTTATCAAATTTGAAAGACCAAAGTCAAATATGTTGAATTAAATATTTAAAAAAATAATTTATTACCGTGAAAATATTTGGAAAAGTCATTTGAAAATGATTTTGTGCGACGTTCTTTAGATTTAGATTTTAAAGTTATCATGAATTTTTTTCTTTTTCTCTCTCGCTTTTTCTCTCTTAACGCATTGCCTCGGCGCACAGCAGGATGCAAGACAGGCTAAGTTGCGAAATTTCAATTGTCGAGGTACGACCTCGATCTTCGTGCGACAGCGGCAAGTGAATCGGGCCACGTGATTCTTTTGCTCTCGTAGATAAATCCTTTGCATGTTCTACTTCAGCGTATCTATCTTAGCTTCAACCTATCCGCGGAAGCGACCTTATCACGTTGAAGAATCGACCGCTACAATTCCACTGTAACGAAAAACCTCCTCCAAACGATTTCTACCCATATGCGAGACCGTCCGTTCTAATTAGTTGCCAACTGTTAATTGTATACCTAATATATCAGAAAAGTGCCCGCGAGAAAGTTCAACTTTAGAATTCCGAGGTACTAAATGTCCAGAGTTTCGACAAAGGTATCTAAATGCCGTTGAAGAATTCGCTTAAGTCCGCGCAAATCCCGTACAATTATCCGACAAATTTCAGCTCGGCTATTTCAAGTATCCAACATCCCCTAGAATGCGGTCCCGAATGAGAGAAACGATCCGCGAGGTCGCTTCGCGTGGACGCGGCAATTCGAACATTCTAATAACAAGATGCTCGCTGTTCCGTCCGCCGTAATTCCTCGGATTACTGCTAGGAATGCAATCGAGCACTCCTTGGATGCACCCTCCGACGAGTGCAATGAGTCGCGATCTCGCGCTGGCAAAGGCCACCACGACCGGTCACGCCGAACTTGCTAGACGAGAGAAGCGTCGAGAACCTGTATGAAGATAGCCCCCCCCCCCAACATTGAAAAACATAAAGTTTCTATAGCTCATTCGATTGCTCATCGTTTGCACGTGTATGCACATTTCGAATTTTCGTTTGCACACTTCTAGTAAAAAAGTTATTAACAAAACAAATTTCGGGGGGCCACCTTCACACTAGCCCCCAACTATGAGTAAATTAAATAAAAAATAGCTCAATTGATAGATTTTTGTTTGCATTTTTCCGAACAGGTCGAATTTTCGTTCGCACACCTCTAGTTAAAAAGTTCTTAACAATTTAAAGTTTCAGAAACGAGCGAGTTCGAATTTTTTCAGTTATTACAAGATATAACGTTCAAGTACAGATATTAAAAATGAGCGAGAACATGCAATAGATTTGATATGAGAAATAAACAAGAACCGAATACGAATGAAAACGCCACAACTTTTCGATTGATATCATTTTAAGCACAATATTTTTGTTTTCACCTCATCTATCGAACTCGCACATTTCTGAAACTTTAATTGTTAATAACTTTTTAACTAGAGGTATGCAAACGAAAAATCGACCTGTTTGGCAATGTGCAAACGAATGTCTATCGATTGGTTCTATTTTGAGTCGCGTATCTTCGGAATTCATCCTGAAAATGAATTTTTTTATGTAGAACTGCCGCTCCCCAAGACTTTATTTGTTAATAACTTTTTAACTAGAGGTGTGCAAACGAAAATTCGACCTGTTCGGAAAGGTGCAAACAAAATTCTATCGAATAATACCATTTTAAGCACAATATTCTGGTTTCTATTTCATCTGCCGAAGTCGCTCGCTTCTGAAACTTTAATTGTTAATAACTTTTTAACTAGAGGTGTGCAAATGAAAAATCGACCTGTTGGCAATGTGCAAACGAATATCTATCAATGGAGCTATTTTTTATTTAATTTAGTCATAGTTGGGAGGTTAGTGTGAAAATGGCCCCCCGAAATTTGTTTTGTTAATAACTTTTTTACTAGAAGTGTGCAAACGAAAATTTGAAATGTGCAAACGATGAGCAATCGAATGAGCTATAGAAACTTTATGTTTTTCAATGTTGGGGGGCTATCTTCACACAGGTGCGTCGAGAAGCGTTCTTATCGAAGATGAACTTATAAGTAAAAGAGAAAAAATGAGGAGATACGAAAGCGAGATATTTATCTTTTCCCTCTTACTTGTGGGAAAAGGAAGAAAAGAAAATAAAAGAATACTCCTATCCCAAAATTAAATTAGCCATTTTAATTTCTACTATTTTTTTTTTTTTCTTTAAAGATAGTGTAAAACTAAAAATGGTTAATGACGCGACTGTAAAATATAAGAATTAAGATTGATTTTCCATGCGCAGATAGATCGAAAAGATTGAAAGGCACAATCAAACGAACAAATCGTAAAAAAAAACAAACTAACCGTGTGAATAAAGTATTATTATGGATGGTAATTGTTGTTTCGTAGCAAGTACATGTTACAACATGTTATCTATCCTTTCCACACAAAATGTAACCGCTTTGAAATTCCATTAGAATAATTGTTGCTGACGGGCATTCGGCTTCTTTCTTTTATCTTTATCGAAGGCGTAAGGCAATGATGTTGTCTATCGCCACACCCTCGGATGATTCAATGCAAAACGCGACTTTCATCGGTCTATAACGGCGTGATACGAAATACTCGTCATCGAAAGCAGTTCGTCACGAGAAAGCAGTTCGAACGGAAAAATTCCTGAATGTCCTTAAGATTCTCGGTGTCACGAACAGTCATTTTCAGTACACGCTGCTACACGCCGATACACGCTATTTCTTCTAATTATATCTCCAAGTAATCATAAATGAGAATCGACGATAAATGTCGAATTTAGCGATATCGTCCGTGCGAGATCGCTCGCCAATTCGCTTTCTACGCCGTCGACATTGACAGTTTTCCAAAGGAAAACAGAAGCTACAGAATCGGCAATCTTTCCGAACAAGTTCTTCCGCGCGTGAACGGACGGCACAATAGCGGGCACCTACGCGTTATTATGCATCGCGCGCGGGGAAGAGGTCTCTCTCTCTCTCTCTCTCTC